TTAATTGTTACTTTGTCAGTATCCGTGAAAAACAAAGCTGACCTGTCAAGACTGTTGAACATTCTAAGAACGACTATCACAGGTGGAACAAAAGATAAATTTGATGATCTGGGGATGTTTTTGATATGATGGTGTTGGAAGTGTGACTTCAGTTGAAGGCAACAGCAACTCTGCCAAGTACATTGACATCCTAGAAAATAATGTATGGCCAGTAGTTGTTTAGTACTTAGAAGACAAAGACTACATGTTCATGGATGGCAATACACCAGTTCACAGCGGAGCACACAATGTAAATAATTATAAAGATAAAGCAAAGTACCCTTAATGGAATGGCCAGCACAGTCTCCAGATTTAAATATAATAGAAAATATTTGGCTTTACATCAAGAGAGAGTTACAAAAGTCCAATGAAAATATCACTACCAAGAATGACCTTCTTCGTGAAACCGAGAGTGTGTAGTGGAAGATCGAATTAGATTGAATAAGAAAGCTTTACCAGCCCATTCCTGATCGCCTAGACAATGTTATCAAAATGACGGGTCATCTTACTAAATACTAAGGTGATTTTAAACTTAAATTTACCGTAAACGAAGTTAAAACAGCGCGCGTAAACGCCGCCATATTGAAAGTGACGAATATATATGTCCCTTGACTGTATATTGATGATGGGTATGATAACGATAACCATAACGACGATGGTGACGGTATAAAGGGTCAATCACGTTGATGGTGATCGTGTTGGTTATTGTTGTCAGTATTGTTAATCTATTTATCATTATCATTTTTTATGACAGCTGTGTGTTCCAGCTGCCGTGGAGCACACTACAAATCCCGTAAGGCTCACGGTTTCATGTCTGGAAAGCAGGTAGGCTAGTACACATTGGCCATTCACAGCTTAGTGTAACTAAGCATAGTGTAACTGACCATATAATCAGAGGATGTTTTGATACCGCCAACAGGTGCACTGATATCTCTAACAACTGACAACATGAATAACACGTGCCTTTGTTGGTTTTCCTGTCTTTTCTTCAATGGGTAGCCATTTGGAATCGTTAAGGTGTGGTCGATTTCCAAGAGGCTTGGGACCTAGTTATAATGATAGCCATGTCTAGAGTTTTCAGATCGCGCGTCGAGAACAATTACTCGACTACATCTGAATGTTTTCTGAATGACAAATTGGTCTTGACCAGTGCTTGAAGAGACCAGCAACAACAAAGATGCGAGGGCACCCTTTGGTAGCGGCTTGGAAACACATATAGAGTTTCCACAGTTACATGTATTGGAGATCTTTGTGGAATTGTTGACGATCTTGTCCATAATTTGCTAATCTATTTTATTACGCTTCAGGATCCTTACTCAGACACCTTGGTGATTGGAGACGAGATCGAGGAGTCTGATTCTGCCACTGTCTCTGTCATTACTGTTTGTGAGGAGAGCACATTGCCAGCCACGGTGTGTGCAGCGGTCTCAAGCACTGGTGAGGAGTCAGAAACAGTCTCTTTGCAATCCCATTCGTCCCAAGCCTCGATACCAGACGAAGAGATTAGTTTATGGGTTGACGAGATGGAGGAACAAAACAGCAAACGGCAGAAATTAAACGAAGCTGTCCACAGCATCTCAGGTGGCCGCTACAGCCCCGTAATTTCCAGCCTGAACACGACCTGGGACGACGTCTCCGACACCCAGCAGCGATATTACATCCGCAAAGCTAAGGAGACTATAGTGACTTCATTGTCTGTCATCACTCCCGGTCAAGAGGAACTGGTTTGGAAGGCGTTACAAACGGAGGTACTTTTGGATCCAAACAGAGACAACCAAGGAAAGCGCAAGCGTTTTGATCCCAACTCTGGTCTTGTCGACATTTTAGTCAAGGCCTATGAGCAAGCAGGTCATTGGCAAACAAAGCGACAGATCCTTTCCCTCTTTGCAGACGACTTTTGAAGAGCTGAGCTTCAAGAGATGATCCCTGGGCTTTCCAAATGGCGCATCGACCAAGCTCGCCAACATGCAACGGAAGCAGGGAAAGGCCAGCCTCTCCCTGAAATTCCTAGTTTCCGTACAAGAATTGAGCATGAAAAGGTGGATCATTTCATTGAATATATCTCCAGACCAGAATTTGTCCAAGACGTGGCGTTCGGGACAAAGACTCTCAAGCTTGACTCGGGGGAGAAAATTGTCATACCAGCAGTCATTAGGACCGTCATTCCTTCACGCATCATCAGACAATATTTAGACTATTGTAAAGAACAAGAGTTCGAGCCGGCGAGCCAGCGTTCTCTCTACCGAATGATTGAAGTGTGTTCGGCCTCTATGCAGAAATCCCTTCAGGGACTTGACAACACCACTGCAGAGGGTACAGAGGCTTTTGATCAACTCTTTTCTATGTTGGAGGCCTTAGCAGATCAGGGCATCAACGTTACTGCCACTCAGAAATTTCTAAAGGATGCAAAAAGGTACTTAAAGAATGATTTCAAGACACACAACGGACGAGGAGAACATTG